CCCTCCCCCCCCCACCCCCCCCACCGAGTGCACCAACTTTTGTGTACCGGGCCTCTAGTAAGTCTATATGCAGCCTAGAGTCCAGTCCTGGACCTCTCCTCAAGTCTCATGGGTGAAGAGGAAGATTGGAGGGATAAAAAGAGAGAAGAAAGTTATCTATATCTCAGAGCTATAGTCCTGCAGAGGTGGGAAGACCAACATTAAGTGAATATCAGTTATGTACAAGTACAGGGACTGGTGTTTTAGACTTGATGTTTCATTCAATTTTATATTTGGTGATTATGAAAACATTTTGGTGTGTCAAGGGGATTGGTGGAATGACTCAGGGCCAGTGGTGACTGGGATGTGTTTGAAATCACTATTGTGCAACATTTCTGAAATAAAAAAAAAAAGGAGACTCCTGCCCTGGCCAGTGTGGCTTAGTTGATTGAACATTGTCCTGTGTACCATGACATTGCTGGTTGGATTCCATGCCCATGCTGTGGGTTCCATCCCCAATAGGGGTCATGCAGGAGGCCTTGATCAATGTGAAGCTCTCACATCAATATTTCTCTCTCTTCGCCCTTCCTCTCTCTAAAAAAAATAAAATAAAATAAAGGAGAGTCCTTAGGCAACTTTAGCCATCTATTTTAAAAGGAAAGATGAAATATGTTCCTTTCAGGTGCTATTTTATGACTTATTACTGTTTTCTTTTTTCTCTTTTTAGGTTTGGAGATGTTTCTTTGCAAGAAAGTATTAATCAGGAAAATTTTGAACTTCTAAAAGAATATTACACGATATTTATGGAAAAGATGCCTCCTGATTGTAAGTCTGAGAGTTATAAAAAACAATAATAATTGCTTGATTATAAATCTTCTGGAGAGGTCGGATATAGAGGTCAATGGAAGAAAGAAGCACGTGCTGGTGATGTGAGAGCAATTTTGAGATTCTCTGAACCAACATAGCTGATTGGCAAGATGTCATGGTCCACACCTGCCTTGTTACCCTGGTTGCTCTCTTGAACGTGTCCGGCTGGTCATGCTAGGACAGTGATGGCGAACCTTTTGAGCTCGGCATGTCAGCATTTTGAAAAACCCTAACTTAACTCTGGTGCCCTGTCACATATAGAAATTTTTTGATATTTGCAGCCATAATAAAACAAGACTTATATGTTTGATATTTATTTTATATATTTAAATGCCATTTAACAAAGAAAAATCAACCAAAAAAATGAGTTTGCATGTCACCTCTGACACGCGTGTCATAGGTTCGCCATCACTGTGCTAGGACATTGTCAGTGCCACTGGACAATACCAAAAGTAAAAATAAGGAACTTATCATTAGAAATCTCAGTTGAGTCCAATAGAAATTTTGTGTCATTCTTAACCATGTAAAAGACTTTAGTAAAGGTTTAGGTTTTTTATTTATAAGCTACATCAGATGTATCATGCATATCCAAGGAGAAAATCAGATAGAATACAACTTCTATAGGGGATATAAAGTGATATAAAATAAGGAACCAGTTTATCACATATACTTTTTGCAATATTTATGTGAAAAACTATTAAGGCATCTAAGCCTATAGAAATATGTTTTACACCTGTGGATTCTTCTTTTATTTTCTTCCCTCCCTCCCTCTCTTTCTTTCTTTCTTTCTTTTCCATTGTTCAGTTCCACAGTTCTTTTTTCCCATAAATTAAGCACATAGCATTTGAGCAGTCCAGAGTCAGAGAATCAAGAATATCTTTGGAGTTCATCCATAAGTACTATAAATATGTTGGGATGTTGAGGTATTCACAATGATAAGATACCAGGTTTTAATAAAGTAAGAAATATTTTTAACCAAAAGCTGTAATAAAAGTCTACCTGTCACTGAATCCCTAGCACTCTGTTCACTGATCTCTATTCTGACACTTAGTTTGAACCATCTTAGGTGGTGGAGTGATTAGATCTTTTCATAACACAGTCACTCTTGCCTTAAAATATCATAATGACATATGTATACTCATGTGTATATGCGTAGTTAGAAAATTTCACCTGCAGGTTTATTTTATTTCACATAAAATATTTTAATGCCAAAATGAAATTTAGTACAGGGAAATTCTTTGTTAGCCAGCAAACTGATAAAGTTCAAATTTGTTAATTACTTGAAAACTTAATGATATTAAAAAAACTATTTTGCATTAGTAATTAATGGGAAAGGGGTTTATTTGAGCCAAGTATGGAGATCCTAAGAATGGAAAAGCCATGTCCTGTAAGTCTTTGCTGTCTTCATCTGAATCGAGAAGTAAATATCTGAAGTTGGTGCCGGAACTGTTGACAGGCGGGAGGTCTCTTTGCTCTATCTCGGTACCATGTGCTGTGGATTTCTCCTTCCACATCTTTGAATAGTGATGTAGCTCTCAGACAGTTGTTCTCTCTGCCTTGACTCTGAGGCACACTAAACCATCAGGATGTACTTCCCTTCACATCCTATCTGGCCTCTGACCAACTGCAGAGACTCTGGTGGGGCATATATGATGCTTCTCTCTCTTCTTGCTCTGATCTTCCCATTGGATTGCATGATCTCAGAAACCTTTCAAGGCCCCTTTCAAGCCCACCTAGATCATTGAGACACCTAAATTTGGGGTTACCAAATAATCAAATAAAATAAAGCACTTCTATAAATCACTAGCACAAACTATTCCATGTTTTAGAGTCACCATCACATTTGCTATATGATTTGGAGCAAATGTGATAGTGATTTGGTTAGACGAAATGCTTCTTTCTCTATCCTTTAAATGAGGAGTAAGCAAGTATTAGTTTATCATCTCAGATCTCTCTGTTGTCTCTTGATAATGTCCATTTCTTGCACTTTTCCCAAACAAAGGAGAAGGGTATTGTCATCCAGGTCTATTGGAATGCTTCCACTAGTTGAGTCCTGTGTCAGCCCTATAAGGGAGGGCTATCTAGCCCTGTGAGCTAAGAAGGAAAAACACCCAGGGCCCTTTGTGAGCTAAATATTATAAAGTACCTTTACAATATTTCATATCCCTGCCCAATTTATAATGGGCTTAGTGGCTCTGCAATATTAAAATGATTTTCCCCACCCCATTTCATTCCTCTGCTACTCCTAGTGTTGACACTGCCCCTTTGTGACTCGAGGATGGCTGCCGTGAACTATTCCCATCCTCAACCAAAGAGCTTTTCTTCCCCTTTGCGTTTTACAGGGTCCTGAGCCTCCCTCACCTGGAACATCACAGACCACTTGCATCCATACCCCTGCAACAATTGCCCAGGTCAGAGTCAAGTTCTGACTGGCTTAGATTTAGATGCACATCCCTGAACTAGTCCTGATTTCAAGGGTGATGGAATTGTATCGATTGACTTCAGAGTGAGAACGTGAGGATCCCAAGTAGATTTTATGCCTGCTATGCAGTGGGAAGTGAGCGGAACAGGTGCTGGGATTCATTTCCATTTCATCTGAGACTCTGACAACTTAAAATAATTGACAATGAGGGGATGGATGAGGCTATTGCCTTGGCCTCATTAGTGTTACAGTTCGATCAGCTGAGAGTTCACACAGTCCTATTCCTGTTCATTGCTCAACACCCTGTCTTTGATTCAGGTCAATGTCCGATTCAGAACTCTTGTTGAAGAAGCCCCATTTGATGAAACAAGGAGAAAGGGTATACTCCAAAGTGCATGTGTACTTGGCTGTCGTGTTCCCTTGGGAGGTGGTGGGAGTCAGTCCCTGGTTTTGTGAATGTTCTTGATCGTGATCACTGTGCACCTGCGTATGTGTAAGAGAACGTTTTCTACTTTGGATAAATTCTGAGAAGCGTGGCATCCTATCCGAGGCTATGAACTCTCTTAAGAGCTGTGAATGTCTTCCTCTGTTTTGCAGAGTTGACACAGAATTTAATGATGTAGCCTCTTCTGCCAAGACTTTTATTAATTGTTTTCCACTGCAAGTCAATTGAACTTGACAGGGTTCTTGTCCTTATTTTGCAGTTGAGAAAGTAGGGACAGAGGGTTAAGCAACTTGCCCAAGACCACACATCAAAGTTGGAGCAAGATTTGGCACTAGAAATCACTTTTCTAGAATTTTGGCTGGGTGCTTTCTTTAAAAACAATTATGAAAGTTTCAATCAAACAAACAAAAAACAGATCATCAAATAACAAACACTAGGGAACTTGTCCTTCAGCCTCACAGATTTTGTAGGAAAGAAATATTTTCAGTTAAAGGGGAAGCCCTGTCTGGTTTCCATCTCTAACCCTCCTGCCTCTGAGCAAATCAGTACCCTGAATTTGGTGTTTTGCATTCGCATACACTTTCTTACTCCAAATGTATGCAACCATAGAAAATATGGTACAGCTTTGCACATTTAACTTTATATTATTGCTGTTATCTTATATGAATCCCGCTATAATTTGCAATTTTTACTCAACATGTTTTGTATATATTTATGATGTTACATACAGCATTTGTTTATTTTACCTATATATTACATTGCAGCACGATGTAACAGTTTACTGTTCTCTCTTTGAAATTTAAATTTTTAAAAAATATTAAACAAAGCAATGAACATTTTTGTACTTTCACCTTTTTATTACATTATTCAACCCCATTTGAATAAATAATATTCCTATGGAGATAGGCATAGAGATTAGTTGCTCTAAGTTTGTTGTTAGAGGAATGCAGGAGTGAGGAGCAAAAAGCAAAACTTATTGGCTATATTTTACATATTAAGAGACTGATTTTCAGACTAAAACCAATCTATGTTCTATTGATACCATGATTTTCAGTGGCTATGTAAGGCTCTATCATTATATCTTGAAAGCTCATCTATTAATCTACAAACTAGTCGTTACTTATGATACTTCCTTCAAGAACCAGATCTGAGTTTCTGTGGCCTGCAAGATTTTTGTCACGTTGAAAAAAACTTGGCAGCAAGTAAAGTGTTGGATTGATAGCGATGTGCTCTGAATAAGGCAAGTTTTGTCATGACAGACATGGAAATAGTGACTTGAAAACTGTAAGCACATCAAAATGATCCCTTGTAAAAAGCATGCAATGGGGAGAAGGGGTGAAATTACAAGGAACATCATGTCTGTCTATGCTAGAGCACTATCCTTATGGGCAAAGGATAGCCATTTGGTTTATATTAGGAGCTGTATAGGTGGTTTAAAATGGCTGATTAAAAATATCTCCATGTCAACAAAGAAACTAAATTATTTTGAAAAATCATTATGCTTTATTCTGGAGTCTCAGAATTCTGAAGAAGCTGGTCCATTGTGTTAAGATGATTGCTTTTTAATACCCATAGTTAATTGTGAAGACACAAGCACAGATTTGGGGAAAATTAATTGCTGGCATAGGAGTTGGGAGACTAGGCTTTTTATTTGACTCTGCCTCTGACTGTGAACCTTGTGAAAAAAAATCTCTTAAGAATCTTGACATGAGGTTGCCTTAAATCAGTGTTTTGCAGAATTTTTATATTTATCCCATATAGTCTCCTGATTCAGACTAGCTATCCAGTGATAAAAAATGGAAGGTTATATCCATCTATGCCATGCTTTGATTGAAGCAGTCATCATCATTAAGAATGTTTTTCTTGCCCTGGTTGGTGTGGCTCAGTTGGTTGGTGCTTCATCCCATACACCAAGAGGTGGTGGGTTTGATTCCTGATTGGTGTTTCTCTCTCCCTCTCCCTTCTTCTTTCTCTCCAATCAATTTTTTTAAAAAAGAATGTTTTTCTTGTTAGTATACAATGGTTCTCAATCTGTGGGTCATGAACAATGAAAATATATCCTGCATATCAGATATTTACATTATGATTCATAACAGTAGCAAAATTACAGTTATGAAGTAGCAACGAAAATAATTTTATGGTTGGGGGTCACCACAGCATGAGGAACTGTATTAAAGTGTCACAGCATTAGGAAGGTTGAGAACCACTGGTATTATATGAGACTAGTTGACATTATCACAATTACACAGAATAGGGAAACCGAGTCATGTGTCTAAATAAAGAATAAACTATGCTGGGGTCCAACCCCAGCAGGTCCAGGGGTCCCCAAAGGTGTGGACGGAGTCGGCGAAGAAGGAATGACACGGAGACAGCGTTCAGTTGATCAGCAGCCTAGCCAGGATCTCTAGCCAGGATCTCCAGCCAAGTTCTAGTCTGGATCTCCAGCGAAGTTCTGGTGTTTGTCTTGTTACATCTTGATTTATACCAGTTGATTTTAATCCTGTCAATTTCTATTGCAAAGGTTAGGGAGTTTCTTATCTCCATTCCAGGGAGTAAAGATTATGTAGCTTAAGCATGATTGTTCGTAGTTAAAGTGATTAACTACCCTCCTGGCACTTCGGTAAGTGGTTTTATCCCCTCCCTAACTTCAGGGGAAAATCCCTACCAGGGGAAACAACCTTTCTCTGAGAGGTGACCTTTGTTAAAACGCATAGCACTAAGGAGAGCAAACACATTAAGAACAGTATGCTATATACGCCAGGTCCCTTGAAACATATGCTGTGCAGATGTTTCTTTCCTGCAGCGACTGTGTCAATGAGCAAGGATGGACTGGCTTCCGGCAAAACTAGAGGATTAATAAGTATGATTATCCTTACATAGTCTGCTCCAAATAACACTTATTGTCATCAATTGCATTTGCAAATATATTGAGGAAAATTTTGTGAGCAGCTTAATACTGTTTCTTTTTCTTCTCCTTTTTTTTCAGACATTTCACATTTTCATGAACAAAATGATTTAAAAGGATTATTAGAAAATCTCCATCAAAATATCCAAGCCAAAAAGAGGAAGAATGTAGAAATCATGTGGCTAGCTGCAACGGTAAGCACTGTCCTGTTAGACCTTATTCACTGTCACCGTGAGGACCAGCAATCAATATTGGGTGTCTGCTTGATAGGGGCCAACATTTGCACTCTGAGTTATCAGATGTCATCTTCCATTGTCTAGGAGATAAAGCATTGTCATAGAGCTATCAGTAGACTAGAACACAAATTGGAACAAGATAAACTCAATGAGAAAGAATCCTTCTCATTGGCTTTTCTCACAAATCTTGGATATGTTTGACACTTGGAGGTTAGAAGGAAGTGTCTTTAATTTTCTTGATGTTGCATGTTTCATCCCATCTCATGCTCTAGAGACTTATGATTTCAACAGAATGTAGTTATCAGATCTCTGACTTACAGCCTCAGTAAGGCTCCTGGACATATTGTTCAATTAATGAGTTTGTAAATGTGTTTGCTAATTTAGATATTGGCATAGAATGTATTACTGGCAGATTGCTCTCAGGGTAATGAACTATATATGGTATGGTTCTTTCTCAGTTAATGGCACCCTCAGGGTAGAAGATCTTCCTGCTTTCCCACCCCAGATTTCTACAAGAGTGAGCAAGAGCATCTTGCCTGCGGTTTGCAAGCTCTTATCTGGCAACCATTTCAGGCATAGCTCGGATAATCTTACAAGTTTTGCTAAACATTCAGACCCTAAGGAATGGATCTTTTCATTAGGAAAGGCAAACCTTGGAGCTCTTGATGATGAATTCCATGTGTGTAGTTATTCTCAGCATTACTCTTGTAATTTGGAGTTAGGTTAACACAACTGCCAGCATACTCTATTCATTCGCTATCAATAGTGTTTCAGACAGAGCCTTTCCCCCTACTGGCAGTGCTTACATTATAATCCAATATTATTTCCTCTCTTCTGTGGAAAAGGAATGGATAATTTACCATAAGTTGAAAGATAAAATAACTTACCAAGAGCAAGGCAGAGGAAAGCAGCTTTAGTTTCCCTTCATGCCCCCTTGGAGCCCCAGGGAAGAACATCAAAGGTAACAATATGAAACATGGCTTTCAGGCGGCTCATTTACACTGGTCCCATTTAGCACCATAGTGCATTACAGGAAGGTTGTTTTAATAGTTCTTTCCCCAGTGTGACTGCTCTTTATATCTTCAAACACTACTATGCTTGTTAATTCTCACAAAAATTTCACAAAGGCAGATTGTATTTTTTTCTTTCCCTAATAACATGGTAGCTTGAAGGAAGTCTGATCATTTACCAAGGCTATCTGGCAACTTGGGGACAGATACATGTCATTATATACATACCATGCATTTATGTAAATAGGAAAGTGAAGGATGCACACATGCAAACACAAATGTATATTTTTTCTTAGTATATGTACTTTCCCATTAGAATATATAAAAAAGTTTTCCCATTAATTCCATTCATTTCTGAAATACTGTTCTAAAATGCATATACTGGCCAAATGTGGCTTACTCACAACTTCCCATTGTGTGAAAGTACTTGTCTTGATGAATACACATATGCACAGTGTGGAAATTTAGCATTCTGTGGGAATATCAACTTTATTATTAATAGCATATCTGTAGGCTGATACCTCAGTTTCAATATCCTGTAAACCAAGGCCCATGATAATACTCTTAAAATGAAGAAATATAGAAATCCCTTTTGACATTTTCAAAAAAGCTTTTACTTCTGCTTCTACTTCCTTTCCCCTTCTATAAATCTATTGATGAAAATACTGCTTTTGATAAGCTTTAACATTCTAATTGAAAAAGATAAAGCTTTTGGTTTTATCTTAACTAAATTTTAAAAAATAAAAATGAGAATCTGAAGACCAAAATTTTTTATTTAAAAAAAATGAGAATCTGAAGATCAAATGCCAATCAGATGTGTTAAATTAACCTCATATAATTAAAAAGTGTTGTAAAAATGCAGCCTCTCTACTCTGATGAAATGGCCCTGCTTCCTTTCAATTTTAAATTTAGAACACTCAGTCTTCTTAGTAGGATGTCACAAATAATAGTGATAATATAGTATTTGAAAATTCATTCTTTTAAAAAATCATATCTGATAAGTAGTTAGCAAGATTTATATTTTATTACCATGAATATAGTCCAACCTTTGTTATTTTATATTAAATTTTTGAAATACTATTTATTTGAATGGATTGGAATTCTCTAGATGGAAAATTATTGTATGGTAAAATCATGCTTTCACAGTTCTCTAGTCACTTCTACTGGAAATAATGAGAAAGTACCAAATAAGGTACTGGTAAATAATAAGGACTGGTAAATCCTAGGCTAAGAATCACCATTAAAATATGGTATAAAACCTTGATAAACTGTATTATTATATCCTCTTCTCAAAACAGGCAACTGTTAAGGCCTCCTTGATGGCAGATAATAAAGCAGGCCTGTATTATGTCAGATTTATGTTAACTACATGTTGATGCTAAAGTTGGTTGTTGGTATCTGGTATCAGGGCTCTACCAAGGGATATGGAAGAGAAAAGAATGGAATGATTCACCTGTTAACCCTGAGGTGATGAGGAAAGAGATTATTGCTTCTCCTGATTTATGGCAGAATCGCAAAAAGAAGGAATTACAGATAAAAACAGAATAGAATGGACGTTAAAGACTTGATTCTTAGAGTTAGGTGGACTTACATTAGCATCCTGGCTGGACAGTGTTGTACACAAGTTACTTAACCTCTCCAAACCTCGATGTCCTTTCCTGTAAATTGAGAATAATTATACCTTCCTCCAGGGTTCATGTGCAGTTAATTAAATTTCAAACCTATATGAAATGTATTAGCAGGGCACCGGTACACAGTAGATGTGCAATTAGCAGTGGCTATTTTTTGGGGGGAGGGGGAGGTGTCCTTATTCTTATTAGTTGTATTGATAAGTGGTTAGAGGTTCCCTCATCTGCTGTGCTGGTACCATGTAGATGTTTGAAATTTTCTAACATTAAGACCAAGACTAGCAAAGGTTGCTTAAAAGTAAGACAACATTAGTTATTTAGGATTCAAATCAAGTGTCTGAGCCCCTTCACAATTAAGGTGTTGTTCCTAAGCTGTGATCGTTAGGGTTATCCACTGCAGTTGGGCCCCTTCCAGGGAGCATTGCTGCCCCTGCTGGATATTGACCACTCATGTGGTTTCAACAGTCCCACGCCTCACACCATACAAACTACATAAAATCTTCCACTGGCTTTTGAAACTACCAGGTGTGGTTTTACATTCAATAGGGCAGATCGAACCAACTGTAACTATCACATATTAACATAAATTTAGTGTGTTGAGATCAGAAGAGTTTAGGAGTCCCACCCTAGAGTAACCAGCCAAAGAACAATAAACGGCTTGTCCATCTGTGTTACAGATTTGTCGCAAACTAAATGGTATTCGTTTCACCTGTTGTAAAAGTGCCAAAGACAGGACATCGATGTCAGTGACGCTTGAACAGTGCTCCATCCTGAGAGACGAGCACCAGCTGCACAAGGACTTCTTCATCCGAGCACTGGACTGCATGAGAAGGTATCCACTTGTCTTTCACTTCCTTTCTTTTAAAATCTTTTTAAGGTTTTTGTTGTTCTTTTGTTTGTTGGTTGCTTTGTTTTTCAAATGAATGTTTTACTGGAGAACTAACCACTTAATAACTTCACTGAATTTCCATGGCTTTTTACTCATGACATGAAAGATAATATACTTTTAAATATTCCCCAGACTCATTTTAAACAGTAGAAGGGAATCTGGCTAAATTTTTACAATATACATGGAGGTTCTATCTCATCAACTCATTTAAACCTAAGTGAACAGGCTCTGTTTTTTTCCTATATAGCACTTGAAGAGGGCAGTTTCTTTATATCTGAGTAGTTATGAATACACACAAAATAAAACTAAGCCATTATCCAAAGAAAACCTTTCCAAATTGCAACTAACAGGTGATCTTCCCGTGAGTTGCAGGGTCTCCAGGTTGGTAGCTCCTTCCTAAAATTATTTTGATATCACTTATCATTAAGACGGATGACACTGATACTTTAAAATAGAGAAGCCACATTGTTACTCTGCTGGCATTTAAAATGCAGTGCCTGAAGTCATGTTTCTTGATTCATTTCCACAGTAATTAAATCTGAAGTCAAAGCCATAATGGGAAGGGAAAAGTACCCCATTCACAATGTCTGTCAGCAAGGACACACGTTAATTAAAAAGTTAAACGAAATAGTCTCTTTGCTGCAGACACTGATTCAGAAGCACCCCAGGAAGCATGGGACAGGCTCCTGGTTCCCAGGAAGGAATGCCATGTGATCCTCTGGACAGGGCTGCTTCAGATCTGCCATGTTGTTAGCTTCCCCTTTTATTTTAACTGCTATAGTCTTCCAGTGGCGACTTTGCTGCTTTCTGTGCCTATAATGTTTCCCCCACTAATGAGAGGTTTCGGAAGTCCTCGATTTTACCCCATTCCATGTCTCTGGGCATTTCCATTGTTAGGTGGAGTTCTATCATAATTTTTTTATAGATGTAGGAGGATGTCTTAGAGGCCTGACATGAACATCTGAGCCATATGAAACACATTGGGTTGACAAAAAAAAACTTCTTTCAAAAATAATCTCTCTTTTCAAAAATAACCTACCAGTGCTAATGGGGGAAATTCAGAATCAGAGTATGAAACCATCTAAGGTGCATAAAAAGAGTAAACGTGTCACTGTGGATGAGCAAAAGGGCTGGAGGGGAGAGCAGAAACACAGGATATTATAGACCAGAGACAACAAAGGACTAAAGTGATCCAACCACCATAAATTATCTCGAAGGGGAAACTGTTTTTTATTTAAGGGGGCAGTAATGGTAATTTTCGACAATATTTCCCATTGTCCAGGGAAGGGAAAGGATTTGCAAAGCTTCTCTGTCATGTGGGGAGCCCCACACTCCAGTGACTTTAAAATGCACACCAGGATCACTGTTTTAAAGGAGTTTAATTTTCATGGTTTTGAATGTATTGAAGTTTTTTATTTTATTTTATATCTGTTGCAATTTATTTTACCTTTGAATTATTCTCATCACCCTTCAGGCTATTTTGTCTGTATTCGTTTAGAGTTTACCAAGGTTATAATATCACTGCTTTCTTACTTTCATTTTTTCCTCATCTTATCTTTTCTCATTTTATTGTGTTTATCGCTGTAAAAGTTTCAAGTTATTATATGTAGATGAGCAAAATGTTGTTGATAAAAAGAAATGAAGCTTCGTCTACCAGCTTATTCAGAAACCCCACGCCAGAATAAGCTCCATGAGGAACAATATTTCTGTTTTCCCCTGCTCTCTGCAGTAAGGCCGTACCTAGAACAGTGCCTAGTGGTAGTGGGTTCTCAATAAGTATACTACGAATGAGCGAACAAATGAATGAATGTTTAGGTTCTATATACTAGGAAGTTTTCTTCACACATAGACATTCGGAATTAAACACATCAAGTTGTCTTTCAATTATGACATATTTAATAAGCAAAAGTTCCATCAGATGAAAGTGAGAGTTTTGGAGAAGTTATGATACAAAAGCAAAACAGGCTACAAATGGCCTACCTTAGGTCGAAGTCTGGATCCACCCTTTGCACAGTGTTCAAATGTTCACTCTCTATTTTCCTACACATCCAGTACTTCCTTACAGCTGCACACTCCCACCATCAGCCTCTAGTTACAGTCGGTTTGACTGAAATGGAAGAAGACTGTCTTCTTCAGATTAGAAAGTTAGCAAGGTGCCTGGCTAGATCTGACTCTGTAAGGAGCTCCTAGGAGTTGCCTCTATTGCCAGACCGAAACAGTGAGTCTCAACCCTCATTGCCCATTTGAAACCCCGGGGGCTGGAGGTGAGCCTCTGGGATGGAGCCAGGGTGAAACCACCTGACTAAAGTCAGCCTCACTGAAACCTGGTGCCCTTCAGTAACTGCTTTTAATGGCTTTGTGGTAAGACTAAGCTTAGTCTCCATTCCCTTTCTTTGAGTTGTGAGGAGCATGTATATTGTCAAATTCTCCCTTAATCATCTACAGCAGAAATTTATAACATGGTGGCTGCATAATCAGCAGATATTTTTCTTAAAGAAATGGAGAATGCAGTACCAGCATTCAATTTGCAGTTATGAACTCTCCAGTGAATGCCATCTTGTCCTAGTGCATTAGCAGAAAACATTTTCGTAGGAATTTTTAAATATATTTGATGAATAAATGATTAGGATTGGAATTAAAATACAAAATTTGAATGGAGTGTAAAATGTCATGTTTTATCCCAACATAATTGTGTTGGGAAATGTAATTGGCACTAAAAAGTAAATTAAAATGAACATGCCGGTGTATAGTTATTTCTCTTGTAGGATGTCTGGCATTATGTGTTTATACAGTGTAACATGTGACACCTTATTCCTTAGTTGTCTGTCTGTAACTTTTATTTTCCTCAAGCTACATTACGCTGCAATCTGTCATTTTGTAATGGCTGCTTAAAATTAAGATAGCTGATATGTCATTAGTAAGATTAATCAGGGAACATTACAGCCTACAACGTATTTATCACCCTTAAGATACAGGGCTTTAATCATTCTATTTCAGTAAACAGTTAAGTCATAGGAGAGAGGCTGAAAGGCCCATCAGCCCTATTGAATTTTATTATCTTGTTGAAATTCATGTTCTCAACATGTTGCACCTGGCGTTTTTATGTTGGGGCAGCATAATTTATTTAATGTTCTGCTTTATAAATGAGTGACCCTTCATCAGTTGATATCAGTAAAGGTTTTATGTTTTTATTTCTCATGTCTTCTTTGTCGGTATCACTTTTGTGTTGAAATAGAAAAATGTATTTCTTCTTTCCTTAGTCTTATTTCCACTCCAGCTTATTTTTATTTGCTTTTGTTTGATTGGACTAGACAGAAAAGTGCTGCTATTTTTTCACATTACCCCCTATTTCAAATATTAAAGTGAATAATAAGCATCGTAGACACGGGTAATTGAAGCTTTCAGTTATTTCTTGACTACTTGAAAGGGAGGTGTTTGTAGAACAGCA